ACTTTATAGATTTACTGATATATCAACTAAAAGATCTTACAAAATAATCCACCAGACTATCGGGTTAGAAGCAAAGCTTTTAGAAGTTGACACTAATGATCAGCGAGTTTTCTATATATCTTTTCCTGAAAATGATATAGTACCCGATGTGGAAGACGGTTTTTTTAACCCTTTCGAAGACCGCGTGTACCACTTATGGTACACGCCAAAGCCCACAATCATCAATTTGTAGAGTACTTCTTTGGAGAAATTGCATAAATCTCAACCAAAATATTCAAGCCTTTCACTGATGCTGGTAGTCTTTTGCCTGAAATATTTATCCATCTAAATGTCAGTACTTGTCAACATTCACCCGCGTTGCATAGAATTTTGCTCGTTGCATTCAACAGAATATGCGTTCTATAACAATAAACATCAAGTCCTAAAATAATCAGTTCTCGGTTTGTGAATGTTTCCAGTACCATACGACATGATTTTTCGACCTGAATTATACAATTTGGCGAATGTCAAAACGCCTAACAACACATCTCCAATGAGCAGTATTGAAACAAGGTAAACAAATATGCTGCTTACATCGACTGCACCTCACGCTTACTCTTTTAGCTTGGTTTCGAGCATAAGCAGTATTTACACATAGTACAATTATCTATAACATCCAATACAACGTCCACGACGGGGCAACGTGACTTCGAGAATACGTCTGCATGCCGGTTGTGGAGCGACATGATCTTGTAAGCTTTGAGATAAACACTCATCTTGAAATCGGAGAACGAAATTTTCTTCACGCAGTCTTTGTAGACTCTGCACGCTTTCATCAGACACATATGCGTCACCAGGTGGAGGAACACGATGATGTACCTGAACTGTGGAGTTAGATATTGCGAAGCAATATTGCAGCTAAATACACTCACTATTTACATATCGTCCTGGTGTATAAGCAATGGGCAGCTATTTGGTCGGCGAAACCGACGAGCAACTTCTGCTTGTTGTAACTCTGCTCGGCATGAAAATTTCCTCGTCGTTGGATTGATGGTGGGACTGTGTGCGGTAGAAATCATCACTAAATCTGTCTTGTCATTCCATCTGAGCACTATCACTCTTTTCTTAATTTGTAGGGCCAATGTCTGCCCTTTCTCTAGTAGGAATTGCATAAATTCCCTAGGTAATCCTCGTCTATTCTTTCTGCACGCTCCGATCAAGTGCGTTTTCTTCTGGAACAAAGCCTCTGCAAGTTCAACATTAGTGTACCGATTGTCAGTGTAGAGGTTCAGCCCTCAGCTAGCAAGCCTTCCATAAGATCCATTACATTATTGTCTGCAATTCGTCTCGCGCGTTTGGGAGTTGTGCCTGTGACCTGCGTATGGAATCGAGTTATACGTATATCCTCTTACACTGCACAGTTTGAATAGTTTAATCCAGTACCTGTATCTCTTGCTGGGAGAATGTTGTCGAAAAAACGATTCTTCCCTTGAAAGATACCATTAATTCGTCGATGCATAAGTTATTCGCAGGTCTAAATACGACTTGGCAAGTCCTATTGACAAGTTACGGAAAATTTTTGATTATGTGAGTCTGTCCTTTCCATCCGACTTGGAGTTGTCGCGAAATGCAAATCTCTCAGAGTGTACAGAAATCTTCGTCTAGGATGAAATCTATTGCTAAGAAACTGTGGCAGCTTCACAACACTCATTTGCATTCACAAAGTACACGTCTGACAAAAGTTCGCAAATCGTCTTCAAAGGCAGTGTGTAAGATTTCAAGTTTCACTAGCGTAGAAGACTTTATATTCATAGTATTTGATTAGGGCATAATTTCTCTCACAATATTAACAACTAGCAGCTTTACAAAATCAACTTACATACGGATCTAATTTGTCGCAGTAACATAGACAATAGATTTGATTATTTTCGTTAGAATTACATTGCTCAGATTATGCGATTACTAGAACAGCTTGTAGCTAATGTGAAATCATCATATTTTGAGAACTTGATAAAGCAGTCAATCCACCGCATTGTCGAAGTACCAAGCTTCGACTGTCAGGAAAACATAGGTCTCTACACCCAGACTATGAATAAAACTTGGATTATTGAAACAATGATAAAATGGGTAGCCTGCTTTCTCCTGAATATGATTGACCTTTCTTGAACAGAAACCTTCTGTAATCCATGAATTCCCATCCCCTCGTGTGCATAATTATATAAAATATTGAAAATGAACAAATACCAACTACAATAACTTGGTTATGGCAAGAATTATCGATGACGTGGTTTCGAATGCATTGTGCTACAGCTTCTTTTGACATACTGCTCATTGTTTTCAAATTTCCAGTCACTATTAGAAATCTTAAGTGTTGCTTATTATAAAATATATCAAAAACTGATCGATTTCTATCATTATATTCTTTACCCAGGTTATTGCGATTGCCAGATTGCCAACATCACTGTGACTTCGTAGCAAAAGAGAGCTTTTCTTTTCAAACATAAACGTTATATGGCCTAAAATTTTACGAGGGTGTAGAGAAAATCTCAAACTATCGAATTATCTCTAAAAACCCCATAAGATGATTCCAAAGCGATCAAAAAACCCTAATCAAGTACCAAAACGGCGATTGGCACTGCGTGTGGCAATTACAACTGGTGATCCCGAAAGGGTTAAAGGACTTAAGAGCAAATAAAAGGAAATCATTGCTTGGAATACTTTCTACATCCTACAGTTTTCTCTTTTAAGGGAAGAAGGTGCTTTCCAAAACTTATGGCTTTTTACGGTGATGATGAGCATGAACTCACGGCGCTGTATCATCGTCGGAAATACAGTGACGGGAATTTGCGCTATTGTTGTGGGAGCTGGAGGAATGGGTACTATGCAGTGCCTAACGCAGTGGCATCACATTCGCTCCCAGTAATTTCACGTCAATTTTAGGATTTCTATCGGATTGAACAGTTCTCATCATTATCTAAATTCGTTATGTAAAGAAAATTTCTGTGTAGACCACAAACATCACTATGGCGAATTGGTCCAGACCGATGTGACAAATGTATTGAATCGAGGACTTTGAATGTTGGCATCGGGTCGTTCGGATAGCACTTCTTCTCGACAAGTGGTTCTATCGGTAAAAACTGAACTGTCCTGTCATATGCTGGTACAAACATTTTCATTTAAACGATATGTAGCGTAACAATTGCAATAAGTTGGTAGTCACATGGGTGTCTACTAGTCAGAGTGGTGCAGTGAAATTTAGAAAGCGTACAATGTAATGAATCTAAGTTTAGCGGCTTTACAGAAGTGCAAGTGAGAAATTCACAGAACTTTTTCTTCTCGTGAATCGAGAAAGCTCTCTCTTTTGCATTTCACTAGTGACCATAAAGAAACAAATTAGAAAAGTAACAAATTGCGAAAAATTAGAAGATTCAGAATAAACAACTGAATGGGAATTACTGCCACAACACTCCAAGGCTCATTCAAAATGTATTCATCTGCCCACTAAAAAGTAGTTAAATCTTGGCTGAAGCTAACTGAAAGTTATCGAGAAAGTACTACTTTTGCGAGTTGTATTAGTGAGGCATTCAGAGATTGCTCTACTGTGGAAGTCGAAGTGTAAGAATAAAAAAAGCGTTCGCCTCTGGAATGGCATTGGCTCATGAACAGCTTATAAATTTCATTATTGCTGAGTCACTTTCCAAGGTATTCCCATGTAATGAAACCGGCCCAGAGGAAATTTTTCTTCATATTAGCCTCATAGTGGTACTTGCAGTGCTACCTTACCAAAAACCAATTGGATTTCTTTGAAAGAAGCTGACAAACATGAATTATTTTAGAAGGAAGCTTGACATAAGGAGTTTTTGCTTGCCGCGGTTTTATCACTTCATTTCAAAAAGCCTCTCAGATGAGTCTAGTTTCCATAACTACGTGCGTGGCCAAGTGGATCGCACTAGAAATACCTAATTGTTCAGTAAATATTAATAATTATAATCGAAACCAGGCAGAATACAATTCAACATCCACCTTATCTTGAGAGTCCATGTCCAACGCCTGGAATAGAGTAGTCATTCATGTGCTGCTCTCAAATTATGAGCATTGAATCTTACCCAGATCATGAAATAAGACAGATAACAAGTTACATCACTGTAGTAGTCATGCCTCTTTCTAATCATTGCAGAATTTTGAGCAGTTGTCTTAAATCCTGCCTCAGAAATGTAAGTGCCACCTCAAAATCGTCATCGCTCTGTTTTTGTAACCTGCGCTTATCTATAGTGCACTTTGCTTAGTTTCCGACTTTCCATTTAGGCGCTCTTTGATGCGGACATAGCGTAGTCTATACATCTTGTCTTTGTTCCATAGACGGTAATATGGACGGTTCTGAACCAGCTGACAATGTAATGTGCTCCGTCAAGTTAACATGAATAGCATAGTCTCGCTAGAGCTACAATAACAATCAATTCAAAAGAAGAGCTGAGACATAGTCAGAGAAGCGATATAGTAAGCCAAAAGGGAGGGATTACCGCATTTACCAGTCAAATCAAAAGAGGGAAGCATTGCTTTCGAAAATCGCTTGCAACAGTGATTTGGGCTTTCTTGGGACTATGGTAATTCCATCTAAGACATGAAAGTTGTAATACTCAACAGTTTTAGTGTTCTACTGATTTGTCGCAGTTTTATGATGTTTCGAATCCACTTAAGAGAATTGTGTAGTGAGCAAAAATTCTACCTCAGGCGTAAATTGAACCCGCATTTCACTCATAGCAGGGACGCGAGCTACCACTACACAACCGAAGCCACCGCTTACCCCACTGCTCATTCTTCAATATCTCACTGTAATAGCCATGAGCCACCACCCATTAACATATATGCTCAGGTAAGCAATATCGCGATATGAACCCAGTTAAGCTGAAGCCATTGTGGATGTGATACTCAATATTTCTAATGTTTTACTGCTTTCTCGCAGATTTATGATGCTTCAAACACACTTAGGAGAATTGAGTAGTGAGCAGAAATTCTGAGTGGCCTCTGTGGTGGTGTAGTGGTAGCACACGTCTCCGGTACGGATGAGGAGCGGGTTCGACTCACCTCTAAGGTAGTATTTTTGTTTTTTTTTGTTTTCAATTCGCTTATATCACCTGTATCAACTGTTGTGCCGTTAATCGTCGAGTACTCGAGAGGGTGCCAGCAACACTTCCGTTTTTCCTTATCGCGTGCAAGAACAACCAGTGGGTCCTCCACGCTCTACGAATTCACTCAGCATCATATATTTATTTTATGCCTTTCGTGGAGAAATCGGACCATCGGGCCGGTGGTCTTTCTGTGGAGCGCTTGATATCTCGAGGAATTCAGTCGGTAACGGTTCTCGTTCATCGGTCGTCGTTGAAGTGCATCCTACGTGTCCGGACCACCTCCGGAAAGTCCGAGAACTGATAAGATTTAAGACTATCAGACTATCGATTAGTGATAAAGGCGGAGAGTTTGTGTAATCCTTCGTCAGTTGGATGTCGGTATACGGAAAAACATCTAGAAGACCGTTCCCTATACTTCCCATTGTCTGCTAAGGAATTTTGAAGTCAGTACCGAAAATCAAATACGGAATGGGCCCAATTGGCAAGAGCAGCAGGTTTGAAACCACCCGTAATTACACAGCTCAAAATTGGCCAGACCATCATGTCCCGTCCTATATCTACTTATAGAGACTCACAAGTTAACTACCACTGATGATTTCAGGTCTACCGATCCTTCAAAGTTCAAAACAAGACCCATCATTAGTTGCGTGGACGGGCCAACGGACAGGATAGCTTGGTTTATAAACGTAATACTCACTCAATTATTAAGACGCATCTCGGCCCAACATCACCAACACCCAAATGTTTCTGGATCATCCACGTAATACGCCCTCCAACAATGCGTGCGTTATGGAATCATTCGACGTAACATCTCTTTACACAAAGGTATCGAATGATTCCGCATTACAAACCAGCTGCGAGCTCCTCACACAGCATGAAGGAGCATTAAATATGTATGGCTTTTCAAGTCAGCAGCTTTAATCCTCTTAAAAAACTGCCTAGACTGCTCAGAGTTCAGATGGTCCGGAACACACTGCAAACAACTTAGAGGATTGGCCATGGGAGAACGACTGGCACCAAGCCTTGCCATTGCGTTTATGTCTAAAGTCGAAGCCTCGGTGCTCAATCTCGGGCCACCACTCTACTGCAGATATAATGACGACTGCTTTGTCATATGTTCAGCACGAGAGGACATGGACAAATGCTTTGAATTACTTAACGCACAATCGCAGTACATAAAGTCACCCGAGAGAAAGCCCCATAATGATTGTCTTCCATTCTTCAACGTTCAAGTTAACCTTTCCAAAAATGGCTACACTGAAAAATGGTATCGAAAGGCAAGGAATAAAAATATTTTGGTTCAGTACCTCTCCTCTCATCCTTCTCACACCAAACGATCACTTATAAGAAACATGTTCCGCACAGCCTCTGGCGTGTGCACAGGAAGGGAAGAGGAAGAAAAATCTTGAATTTGGCACGCAAAATAGCCATCTCCAATGGCTACGAAAGTGTAACACATCAGGATCGGTTCAGAGGAAAGGTTAAACACTTCAACGACAGAAGCAATGACAATAAAATTCCGTTCATCCTACCCTTCATTTCGGACGAAATAAGTACACCTATAGAGCGATGTTTGAAAAGAACAGGTCTAGCAGAATCGGTATCCGTGATCGAAATACCACCTATGACTCTCAAACACCATTTAGCCCGTAACAGCCTATACGATCTTCTCTGTTCCACAAACGATTGCATAATATGCCCAAACGGTAACGACGGAGACTGCATGAGTTTAGGCACAGTTTACCTGATCGCTTGCAAAACGTGCGGATACAAATATATTGGCGAAACGGGAAGACCACTTTACATCCGCTTAGAAGAACACCTAACCGGACTGCGTAATAATGGCATGAAAACTTCGTTGGGGGCGCAAAAAATACGGATACACAACAAGGATGGTTTTGGAGTCAAAGTCACTTTTCTCGTCCGGGAGCAAAAGATCTCAGCGCGAAACACACTCAAAGCGTTTTGGATCCACGCCAAAAGCCCCAAGATGAACCGCAAAGACGAATCTATTGTCATAACAAGTGAATTCGGGCCGTATCTCGGATCATTCTTCTAGCCTGGCTCACGTGACCCCACCCCTCACGCACAGTCCTCGTCCATACAAGACTGTTAGCGGTGGGTCCACATAACATCTCACTAGACCATAAAACAAAAAGGTGCGTAAACTGTTCTGCTCTAGTTATGAAAGTGCTTGTCTGAGTGTTTTGCATATCTGACTCTTTCAGGCTTTGAAGAGGGCGGAAAAGCCGAAACGTCAGCCATCACGATCAAGTTCACTGTACTGTTCATCTGTACCGAATAAATCTTCAGATTAATAGCCTCGTACTGCTGAGTAAGATAGTAACAAGGAGATATTCAATAGATGCCAAGGTTAAATGTTAGTCGGTCATGGGAGTTGATCCTAAGAACATATTTTGTACTCTTTCAAGACATTTTAAGTTGTTTGTGGGCTTTAATCTCAAAAAAATTGTACGGCGTACCTTGTTTTTTGAAAGGCCCCTATATTAAGCCGTAAGAGTGGAAAGAAAATGTCTTAACACTCAATCATCTTTCGATGAGCGAAATTTTCCCAAAAGTCCAGTAAATCTTCGATAGCACATTCTCGGCAAATTTAATAGCGCTTTTTGTTTTCCAAGAAATCTCCTTATTGCGCTAACACTGAAACTAAGATTGCATTGCACATGCGGCGCATATGTCTTCCACCGTTATCTGCACGTATACTGCAACACTGGCAGAGAAGCCGCCGCCGTTCAGTGACCAGTCCATCTCAAATGTCGAAGATTTCAATAGTGTGCTTGCCTTTTGAAGAAAGTTTCTTTGCGAGCTGTAGCAACAGGAATAAATCTGGGGCAGATATGAAAATTTTTCGCTATACACGACTTTTCTCTCTCAGGCTTTCAGACCTGTTAAATAGCGCAAATCTTATCAATTTCAAGTGCATGCTTAGTTTAAGAGAAAGATTTGTTAGCGCGTCGCTACAACTAAAAGAATATTGAGTTTTAGACTCAGCGCGCCGCATGCCTCATTAAATTGCGCTGAGCTATCGACAAGGCGCCGAGTGTGGAACTTAATAATCTTTTCGCTCCACTAACACATCAGAACGTCCTTCTCCAAAACGAAGTTCGTATCGTCTGCTCTCCGTTGCGATTTCTTGAAAAAACGTATTTCTTGGCCGTTTTCAATGTTCAATTAGTCGCTCGATAGCACAAATCAGAAGAATTCGAATGGTATATCTCACTATCACAGTACCTTTGTTATTGTGATGAAAGAATAAAAACAGAATTTTCTTTCTTTTTGAAAGATTTCTCGCTGACCAAAGTTCTTCCTCCGGAGTTTTTATAACCAACCATTGGAAACTACCAAAAAATACGTTTTTAGATCAAATCTTATGGAGTCAGTAATCTGGTTGGCTTCTACAATGATCCTGGTATTACGCTGCAAGTTTGCGAAAATTGATTACTATCCTCTCCTCACTTCGATACATTGGAAAAAAACGTATTTTTTGGTCGTTTCCAATATTTATATAATCAATTGATAGCCTAAATCAAGACAACTTGAATGGAGTATTTCACTTTCAGAAGGGCACTATTACTGCACTGAAAAAGCAAAAGTAATATATTTGTTCCCCATTCATAGATATTTCGCTGACCAGAGCCTTTCTCAAGTAGTTCCAAAACCAAGCAATAGATATCTCAAGGACTCAAAATGTTTTTGGTTTCTTGTATAGACTTCTTAGTGCTTTATAAAAACCAAAAAATTGGGTTTCGCACTTGGAACTTTTTTTTAGATTTGCGAAGTCCAACAGCGTGAAACGAGTCCATATTCAAAACCAATTAACACCTCACACTCACTTTTGGCAAAAATCTTCCCTGTTCATCTGACTAATTTGAAGAATTCAGGAAAAAAAAGTGATCTTGTCCACATAGCAAAGCCTTATATCTTAATGTGGTTGTAGTTTCCATAATAATTGCTGACGTGTTTTCCCTTCTCTATCTTCATATTAATGAAATCTTAGTGTAATCTTATTCTTCGCCCATTTACTGACCCTTCAGTCAAATCTTCTTTTCGGTGTCAATCAACATTTTCATTAACAAGAACAATTTTGGAATCACACTGAGAGATAGTATGTAAAAACATTTGATATCAATGAATGCGATTCCCTTGTCTCTGGGAAAATCTCTGTTGAAAACAGTTTGTACCAGAAGATGTGTTTCGCTTTCAACTACTTGAATTTTCTTTGATAGCACGCAGCAATAGGAAAGTGGGATATTATTTCTCCTTGTTCTCATTCTCTGCATGTTTTTCTATTGTTTCTTCTGCGTCGTGTCAGGCTTGTTAACACTCGAAGTTGTTTTCGTGAACGAAGAATATGACTGACCTATACGAATCGGATAACATCGTTGAAATGAATTTTTATTAGGACATAGTATGTGTGATGTTGCAGAGAGATCTGCAGAGTAGCTTTTTTTGCAAGTGTTACATGGCAGATTTCTTGTAGATCGGAAGGTCGAAATTGACATATCTGGAGTTCTAAAGAATTCAAGCTAGGTTCAAAGAAGTCAGTGTGGTTGATTTACATGCGGAGCTCCTTATCGACAAACGAGCAACTCGAAATTTTGGGTAGAATTACTGCATAGGCTAGTTAAACTGAGTTTTGTTGCTGCAGCATTTCTCACTGGAGAATTCACTAAATCTATTTATGTTAGAACTCTCATCACGAATCTGCAAAATCGGCGTGATATTCTCTGACATCTGACGTTAGAGGAATCAAAAGAAAAATGGATTTATAGAAAGTGTGAGAACAATTAAAAATTCAAGTGACGGTGAATACGTAAAAGATCTTCACTACATCTTGATACTGTCCTAATTAGGTATAAGGTATTGCAAATGTAAAGAAGTGTAGCTGCTTAGAATTTGTACAGGAATGCCGCATATCGTTGCTTCTTACTCTCTAAGGAATAAG